ACAAAAACGATGGTGTACACATCAAACTAGATAACTATGCTGGGTTTTGTATCACAAAACACTAGTCGAACACTTCCCAAGCGTTCAGGACTTTGTGATGTATCATGATGTATATTTATATTTATATTTATATTTATATTTATATTATTTATATTTATATTTATATTTATATTTATATTTATATTTTTTATTATTATTATTATTATTATTATTATTATTATTATTATTATTATTATTATTATTATTATTATTATTATCAGTGTTTCTGAACCTTGACAACTTTAAGCTGTGCAGACTTTAACTCCCAGAATACTGGGAGTTGAAGTCCACTTACCTTAAAGTTGCCCAAGTTGAGTTTACTGGTCAGGAGGGATTTTAATATACCAGTAATCATTGAGCCAAAAATATAGTCATTGGAAGGAAAAATCATTCAGAAGCAGATTAGAAAAGACTTTGGAAGCAACCAATCTCATTGTTAACATTTCTTTCCCTTCCTCTGTAGAGAGCAGACCGGGAACAGAGATCAAAATGGAGAATCGAGGAGAGGAACCGAAATCAACACGATGGAGAGATCAAAAGTTTAGTTCTGGGAATCTGCCAATAAAAGTAGAAATGGAAGAAGGAGGTTGCAAGTCAAGAGAGCAGCAGCTGAAGCCCGTCCATACTTTGCTTCAACAGGAATTTTCAATAAGAGCCGAAGTAAAGGCCACTACGTGCAAGCAGAGTAATACGCCCTTATTCTCCCAACATGATAGAAGATACCACTATCAACTGGAACTGAATCCTGTGTCTTCTGTGGAAAAATTGGAGCAATGTCCACAAAGGGTTGAGGACAGCCACCAGCATACTTCCATGAGGGGTCAAGAGGCAAAACACATCCGAAGTGAGCAAAGAGTTGAAATCTCTGATAAAGGAACAGGGGATAATTTGAATGATCTTGGGAAAACACGTAATAATTCTCCCGAATATGAGAAAACCTTGACTAACCCAAACTCACTAAACAGATTCCCGGTGTGTAATCCCGAAGAGGAATGGTACGAGTGTTCCCACTGTGGGAAGGGCTTCAATAAAGCCAAATACTGGAAACAGCACCAGAAAATTCACACCGGGGAGAAGCCGTACAAATGTTCCCACTGTGGGAAATGCTTCAACCAGTCGGGCAACCTGAAGACCCATCAAAGGATTCACACCGGAGAGAGACCCTACAAATGTTCCCAGTGCGGGAAATGCTTCAGTCACACCAACTGTTTGAAGATGCACCAGAGGATTCATACTGGAGAGACCTACAAATGCACTCAGTGTGGGAAATGCTTCCGAGAGACGGGAATCCTGAAGAGGCATCTAAGGACTCACACTGGAGAAAGGCCGTACACATGTTCCCAGTGTGGAAAATGTTTCAGCCTGGCGGGAATCCTGAAGAGACATCAAAGAACCCACACTGGTGAAAGACCCTACAAATGTTCTCAGTGTGGAAAGGGCTTCAACCGGTTGGGAACGTTGAAGAAACACCAACGAATTCACACAGGCGAGAAGCCGTTCAAATGTTCTCACTGCCAGAAATGCTTCAACGAGAGAGGAAATTTGAAGAGGCATCAGAGAATCCATGCCAGAGAGAACCTTAATATCATTCAAGAACTCATACTTGAAAATGACCATATCAATGTTATCAAAGTGGGGAAAGCTTCTATAGGGCAAGAAGTTTGAGGAAACATATGAAAGAGCGTGCTTGTGGGGCACCTAACTGATGTTCTCAAAAAGCAAATGTCTAGGAGAGGACTTGAAGAACCTCTAAAGATGTCCGCTTCCTTATATTTGTAAGGAAAACTCCTGGCCCTACTCATGATGGCTTGTTCCCTTACATTTCGGGGTGCTAGGTAGACGAACGAATGTTCGTAAAGTAGATTTCAGATAAATGCCAGGAAACTTCAAACCAAGGGGTGGGATTCAGCCGGTTCAGCCTGGTTAGCGTGAACCGGATGTTAAATTTACATCTGGTTCAACTAGCTGGCCCCACCCAACCCTCCCCTCCCCAGAAGTCTCTATGCGGCCCATTTTGGATGCAGGTAAATACAGGATCCGCGGGAGGCTCTGGGAAGGCAAAAAAAAAAACCAGGTTGAACCGGAAGTTCCGGAAGTCCAGAAACGGGCCTGTTTCCGGCTTCCGGAGACCCTCCGGAGCCTGGCAGAGGCTGTTTTCACCCTCTCATAGAGGCCCAAAGGAGGCTTCCGGACTCTGGGGAAGGCGAAAAACGGCCCGAAGTTCTGGTAAGCCAATGGCCATGCTCACCCAGCAACTGGGCAGAGAATTGGTTGCTGGGATTTTGAATCCCACCCCTGCTCCAAACCATTCGTCATGAGTAAGAAAGCTTGCAAGGTTGAACTAATTATGCCGGACAACCTTTTACTGAATGTATTCAAAAAAGGATCTGGAAAGATATTTCTTATGGGTGTTTTGATCAGGATTCCTGTGGATATGTGGGTTTAGATGAGATCATTTAAATTCTAAAAGCCTCTTCCTGACCCTTCGTTCCCCATGAAGTGTCTACAGAGATTCTCAATCATCCAGGCCATGGTTGTCCCAAAGGTGTTTTTTCCGAAAAGTCAACAGGACTTTTTCTTCTTTTGGTTTGATTTTTGAAAACATTTCACTTCTGATACAAGAAGCTTCTTCAGTTTTGAAAAAGCTTCTTAGATTAGTATCAAAATGTTTTTTTTTAAACCAATAAAATCCCGTTGCCTTTTGGAAAGCACCTTTGGCGACGTTCTGTATTAAAGTTCTCAGTGAGGTAAAATCTTCAACCTCATAGCAATTCTTGGAGGCATCACACAACTCTTATTTAAGAGAGAGGATACCGGTGTTCTTAGCCTGAGTATATCCTTTTGGCACAAGGTGCAAAAATGCAATAGCACTTAGACTTATATAGTGCTTTATAGTGCTTTACAGCCCTCTCAAAGTGGTTTTACACAGTCAGCATATTGCTCCCAACAATCTGGGTCCTCGTTTTACCCACCTCGGAAGGATGGAAAGGCAGAGTCAACCTTGAGCCTGGTGAGATTTGAACTGCCAAATTGCAGTCAGTCAGCGGAAGTAGCCTGCAGTACTGCACTCTAACCAATGCGCCACCGTGGCTATGGTAGCTCACACATTAATAAAAGCAAGTTTAAGGGAGAATGCTAATTAGAGAATCCACATAGGAACATGGCACAACCCAGGATCTAGGATTTGGTAATGATGGAATGGAAAAGAATTTCCAGTGAAAAGCATACTCTCTCTGTGTGTGTGTGTATGTATGTGTGTGTGTGAGAGAGGGAGGGAGGGAGGCAGAGAGAGAGAGATAAGGCACCAAATTAAACTTATTGAAACAGAGACGGTGTCGGTGGGATTCAATTTCTTTAACTACTGGTTCTGTGGGTGTGGCTTGGTGGGCATGGCAGGGGAAGGTTACTGCAAAATCTCCATTTCCTCCCCACCCCACTAACCTGCTTTCCAGCTCCGTTCTCCTGTGTAGGGCAACCAAAGAAGACCCAGCCAATCAGCTGGGACTTGGGAGGCAGAGAATAGATGGGGGCGGGGCCAGTCAGAGGTGGTATTTGCCGGTTCTCCGAACTACTCAAAATTTCCGCTACAGGTTCTCCAGAACTGGTCATAACCGGCTGAATACTCACCTCTGGCTTCACTTCTCATGGAAGAAGCTTCTTCCATTCAGAGCTGATGAAGCTTCTTGGATGAGAAGCAAAATGTCTTCAAAGAAAAACCAGGAAGTTCCAGTTGCCTCTTGGAAAAAGAACCTTCGGGACTACCTGTAATTTTTTAAAACGATCTGTACAGCTGCAACAACCTCCAGCTGGGATCAATGCTGCTTGGTGACTGGGCAGGTAAACATCACAACGCTGTGACGAACGTAATTTCTGCTCGCTGGTTGCAGAGTTCAATTTTTCCATGCTTGCAAGATGCACAGGTGAATCAAGATAGGATATGCGGATGTAAGCACTTTGTGTTCTTGTTAGAACAGCGTTCCCCAAACTTGGCGGCTTTAAGACTTGTGGACTCCCAACTCCCAGAATACTCAGCCAGCTGGGAGTTGTGTTAGAACATGTTCTCTTTTGTGTATCCAATGTGTCGGACCATGTTCCCTGTACCGGTTGACTTTGGTGTCTAGAAATTGATCCTAATTAGAATTGCTGACAGAATCTTCCCTCTTGAAGTGTTCAAACATCTGTGCTCTTTTTGTAGAATTTGAATCCACAAATTCCTGTATTCCCTGACAGCCCTTACATCTCTAGTGCGGCCTTTTTTTACCCTTGGCAACTTGAAGATATGTGGACTCTTTAACTCCCAGAATTCCAGCTGGGGAGCTGCAGTCCACATACCTTAAAAGTGGCCAAAGTCAAGAATACAGATGTTCTCCCTGGATTATCATAATACTTAAAATGTGCTGCAGCTTATAACAACTTATGCTGAGTACGAGGCCGCTGTGTAAACCTTTTTAGGTGTGTTCATAGTTTTGCAGCGTTAATTTAGCGCCAGAAAAATAAATACAGATGGCTGATGCTTCATTTAACATCTTTATAAACATAATAAATACCGTGTTTCTCATATAATAAGGCCGGGTCTTTTTTTTTTTTTTTGGAGCCCCGAAAAAATGGCTAGGCTGTCTTTTCGGGGGGTGACTTAATTTCCCCCCCCTTGCATCTTCAGGCGGGCGGGCGGCGATGGCTTGGATGTTGACCTCGGCGTTGGTGGGGCACTTTGTATCGGGGTCAACACAGGCAGTATCCAGGTGTGCAACAAAAGTACTTCCTAACGGCAAGCCCCCCAACCATTCCCCCCATTTCGCATGTTTTAATATAGGCCTTAATTTGGGGGGAGGGGCTTAATTTCATTTCATGCCTATAAACTGTAGTTTCTTCCCCAAACCCCAAAAACTTTAACCTTAGACTGTCTACTATTGACCTCACCCCTTTCCTAAGAGGCCTGTAGGGGGCGTGCATAAGCGCACCAACGTGCCTACCGTCCCTGTCCTATTGTTTCTTTTATTCTTCTTTTATTTTTCTTATATGTACCCATTTCATGTATTCACAACTATGTATACACTTATACTTATTATCTTGTAAACAATTGGCAAATCAAATAAATAAATAAATAAATAAATAAAATAAAATAAAATAAAATATAAAACATGCTGGGACTTCCTATTGGGGGAAGCCATATTGTTGGAGAAACAGGTTAGATTTTACAAATTAGTTGTAGATTTCTCCAACATGGAGCAAACTCAGACAGAAACGTGCTGCAAGTAACTTCAGCAGCAACTCTGGAGCTCAAAAACAAACATCAGTTTGACTTTAGTTCAGCCGGCAAGCAAGTTAATTTAATCTTCAATAGACAGACTCAGAGCTCAACATAGCTTCAAAACTGCAGAGCTTACTGTAGAGCCACGCCTAGGCTACTTCTAGTTTCAGTTTACAAACAGTTCTCATTGGCTGACTTAATTGCTATGCCTATTCACTGGCTGACCTTGATAACCATGCTCTACTCCAGTACATGAATATACTCTGACAAGGTGTTCCTGATCTTTATTAAAGTAGTTGCAGCTGCTGTCCTCTTGGCCAGGTGTTTTGCGAGTGTATGGTTTGGAGGGATGAAATCAAATGGCAGAATTGCTATTCAGGGGAAGAGGTTTATTTACAAGTCAATAAATGAATTGGTTTACATTGAACTCATTTATTTTTATTTACATACCTGAACAAAAACTTTTAAGTGGGAGTTTCTTCATAGGGAATACCAACCTTGCCTTTGTTAAATTGGTAGTATCTCCTCCATTTTTTGTTTAAATGTCTGCTATTGGGCTTTTTTTAATGGCTGGGTTCACAGAGCATGGGGGTGGGGGGGGGAGGCTATGGCAACTTTATGACCTGTGGACTTCAACTCCCAGAATTCCTGAGCCAGCATGGCTCATGATGAACATGGCTAGCTTAGGACTTCTGGGAATTGAAGTCCACAAGTCCTAAAGTTGCCATAGTTGCTCCTTGGAGGTTTTGAAGAAGAGGCTGGACAGCCACTTGTCTGAAATGGTATAAGTTCTCCTGCTTGGGCAGGGGGCTGGACTAGAAGACCTCCAGGGTCCCTTCCAGCTCTATGCTGCTTCTGCTTCTGACTCCTCAGTCAAGTAAGTCAAACACCGAGTGATTATATTTGCAGAGCATGCTAAAATGGATTAGTGTAAATGTTGGTTAGATTGATTTTGAAGTAGTTTAAGTAATTTAGGACTGTCCTGCAGTCAAATCTAGGAAATGGACAACCAAGTGGAACATCTTGGGTAAACTAAATTTGCAGTTATTTCTGCCCCTTTTCCTGATCCTTCCTTCCATTACAAACATCTGGAGGACAAGATGGAATTGGCTAATTGTTGCCTAATTGCTGCCTGTCCTCACAGCCTCTTTTATGTGGGATTCCCCATCTGTTTCTAACATACAAAGTGCCCTTTTTTTTCTGGCCAAGTGTGTCATCAGCCCATCAGAAATGGACCTAGGTAAATCAGAAGAAACATCTGAAGTTGACCAAGAAAGGGACGCCATTTTTAATTGTCTTGGGGTCGCAGCTCTTTGAAGATGCATCTATTTATCAATCATCTAATCTATCAATGTCTATCATCTATCTATAGATAGATAGAT